AATCGCCATCTTTTGAAATTCTGTGACTCCGCACCAGAATTGGGAACCCAACCCACCTTTCGGCAAACCTCTACGGGAATTCACATGTTCCAACCCCCCCCCCCCAAAAAAAAAAAAAAAAAAAAACGTATTGCCCCCCCACCCCTACATTCTCTTCACCTAGGTATGTACAAGATAGAGCTACATCGATACTGTAAACAATAAACCAAATACCTTTATATCTGGAAGTCAAACTTTCGTTCACTTGTTTCCTTCGTCTGGAGTGCTTCGATTTTAATCACTTTTTTCGGCATTTGGATTTCTTGATGGCCCCAGATCTTAAACTGGGATCGTTACTGAAGTACATTTTATCTTCTTTCTCACTGTATATTCTTAAAAATAACCCATAAGAATCAACACAGCACTGGAAATGCAACACTTCCTACCGGCTTGGCTTTACAACTCGAAATGAACAGGCCCTCAGCTATCAAGCTGGCGGCTACGAAAGGAAGTGTGAAATGCAATGCACGATGCACACGACTCTAAATGAGGCTATAAATCAATCTTAAAACACGTAAATGAAGTATATTAACATATTAACTGACTTTAAGTGCCTAAATTTGTAACATAATTCACTGATAATTAGCCAGATATTTGACATGTGCAAAGTAACACTGGTACTACTTAAGGCATCGCAGTAATGTGTTCAGCAGTCAGTGTTTTTCTTCGTAAGGTAAACTTAAAATTTGAGAAGCGGCCATGTGGTATATTTTCGTCATTTAGCGGTAAATATAAGACCCACTGCAGCTTAAACTATGATCTATCCCATTCTATTTCTTCCGCCCTGTAAGATGGCGGTGTCCATTTCCCTCTATCTACACGCGTCTGTGTCTTAAACTTGTACCTTCTATTATTGCGCCTCTGTCATTATACCTGACCGTCATGTGTCTTCGATGTGATACTATTTCTGGTGAATGTTTTTTCATCATCCAGGAGCTGACTTTATGCCGGGGCGTTTTGCCCACTCTTTTAGGTCGCGCCACAATCTTTCAATGTTCTGTGTATGGATTTGTGGATCGTCTGGGTCTACAAAATTTTCAGAATGATTAATACTCAGATGTTTGTAACCATGATGTAGGTTTCTGTAGGCAGCCCATCCATCACTATATCACACCCTGTGCTCTCAGGAATTGAATCTTTTTTTTCTCAGATATAACAATATAATAGTGAGGATTACAACTGTCGCACCTGAGATCCATTTTGGTAAGTTATTACACTTGCTTTACTCAACCACTAGACATAATTGTTCAACACACGTGTCACGTGATTGGTCAGTAGCGTTTCCTTTAATACTGTTGGCTTTTGACAATGTCACACATGTAGTGTAGAATACATTTTTCAAAAGGTTTCGTGCACAATTCATGCGATAACATTTTTTATTTGAAATTCCCGCGCATTCCGTGTAAGAAATGTTTTTGTAGCTGTAAGTTCTGGATAACATTGTACTGTTTTATTGTTATATCTTTTAAAAGCACGATACTCTATTATTGCAATAAATATATGGAAATGAAATAGCATCATTGTTTTGTTTACAAAAGTATTTTTTTTCCGGTTACAAGAGTGTCGTTTTTTTTTTCATCTGCGACATTTCTCCGGGCCGATCGCGACAGCAACTCTGCCGATGCTTCTACGCTGTGCCACAGGTGCGGCTCCACCCCCATTCCTAGGAATTGTACTTGTTGACGAATCTGATTTTGTTTTTGAATTGTATCAATTAACAAATTGTTATAATGATACAACATAATAGATACAAGTTGTTAGTTATCAACATATTAAAATTACAAATCAAACGACAGAAAAGTATCGAAAATATTTCGTTAACGCTGGGAAAAAAGGCCTAAAATGTAGGGAAGGATATCGGAAGGCGATTTTAAAATATTTGCATATATTATTTTTCGTCTAAAATGCGGCTAACTGGAAATTTACCTGTTATATTAAGGGTTTGTTTAGTTTGTTAGCAAGACCACTAAGTGTTTTTGTTTCAGTAATATGTTGGGGTAGCCTGCTCCAGTCACATATGGTACGAGGGAAGGAGTGCTTGTGTTGGTGTTGGTGTGGTTTGTGACGAATTTACTGTTGTGAGTTCCTTGTGTTGTGTATGTTTTGCTTGTAAGTATTCGTGATTGTTGATGTCTGTAATGTTCTTGATCTTGTACATGATTGTGTCTGTATGCTTGTCTCGAGCAGGTCCATATTAATCTGTTTTTATGTGAGATGTAATACCAGGTGTACGTGTGTAATTGTGTCATATACCTAGCAGCCCAAGTATTGACCTGTTCGAGCTTCTCAATGCTGTGTATTATAAGGTACGTGTTTGAGGTTAGAAACCCAGTGTTCTGTTCTTGTCAATGATGAAATCAGTGGGTGTTGAAAGTAAGATTGTAAGGTGAATGCCGAGGTATCTATATGATGCTGCAGGTGTCAGTTGTTGGTTGTGTAGGCGGTGTGTAGTGTATTTGTGTATATCTGGTGAAGCGGAGAATGTTCCATTAGTCGGGTCTAAAGGACATTTGCATCGACCTTTCTCACTGTTCTAGGACGTCTGTCTTGCTGGAGGAGTCTGCAGTCGTCTTCAGTTTTAAAAGGTCAAAACAAAAGACTTACGTCAACAAAATGTGTAGCAGAAGAGTTAGGTGTCGAAATGGAAGGTCGAGAATGTGCAGAAGGAAGAGAAGGGGGCCAAGAACGGTGCATTGTGGGTCACCAGAAGAGACAGGGTCAGAAGATATCTCGTCTAGTAGGACACGTTGGGTCCTACGCATTAAGAAAGCAGCGATCCTGTGAAGAATTTGTCCAATGATCTCTTAATGTCGTAATTTAAGTGCAAGTCTTTTGTGAAGAACCTTGTCAAAGGCAAACAGTATGGCATCAACTTGTTTAGTGTCGCATCTGTCAAGTTGTTGGTTAATGTCATGATGAGTGGTGATTAGTCGAGTCACATGATCATCTGAGCCGAAAACCGTGTTGGGAGTCTGTAAGAATGTGGGTATCAATGTGACTCACTGTTTATGTATTATATGTTCAAAAATTTTGCAGATGATCGATGTGAGGTACATGAGGCGATAATTAGTCGGGTCAATTCTGTCACCTGTTTTGAAAGGGGGTTGATATTTGCGCAAAGCCAGTCAACCAGTAGAATGTTTGAGCAAGGACAGGGCACAGGACTTTTGAGGATCAAGGCAGGGATTTGGTCTGATCCAATGGCTTTATTGGTATCAAGTGTGGACAATAGTTTCAGTATGCAGTTAGTCGTAATGTCAAGTGGCGATTTGGGGGATAAGGGCTGTCTGGTATGATGGGTGTATTATGTTTGTGTGTGAAATTGGAAGCGTGTTGAGTAAACGTGATTTGTGCTCTGGATCAGTCACAAGGGTGTTGTTGGAGACTTCTAAGGCTGTGATCGCCATAGTGTTGTGTCTATGCGACTTGAATTTGAATAAGTGTTTAGCGTTGGTCCTGACATGGTTTGTGAGGTTGTTGGAAATTTGTTCGTGTTCTGCTTTCTTTGTTTGGATTTGATGGCAGCCCAATTTTCTGGAGTGTTGTATGTTTGCGCACATCTGTAGTCGATGTTTTTTACGATGTCTGCGTAGGTCCCAGGATATCTAAGGAAGTGTAGGTCTACTTGAAGGCGTTTTCTGTGGTATGTGTGTGTCCATGGATGTGAGTATGGTGAGTTTTAAGGTTATTCCAATTGGCGGTAAAGCGTCTCGTGTGGGGATCTGTTGAAAAGTAGTCTGTAGAAGTTGATATCCTGTATGATTGTGTCTGTCGGCTCTGGAAAAGAGGAAAATTGGTCTGTGTCTGTTTGTCTGGTTGGTCTGAGGTCTGCATCAACGAGGACAATGTCATGGTCACCTATTCCTGGGATAACCTTAGTGTTTGTCTAGAACGTTGTTCGTGAGAAAGATCCAAAATGTGTGAGGTGGTGTAAGGGTTTGTTTGCCAAAGTGAATGAGTATAATATCAATGAAAGTGTCGTGTAGTTGGCGTCTGTGTGGGGGATAATGGGAGCCGCAAGGTCAGTAAATGGGGGGGACATAATAGTTCAGGCTATGTCGGGGAGTAAAAAATCGCCTGTAAGCTATATGTTATCCGCGTTTTTGCGTGATTGAGATGTTTCAAGGTTTTGTAGGTATTTTGTTAGGTGGTGGTCTGTAGAAATCAGCGAGAAAGTGACTTACAGGCAGAGTGTTGGAGTTGGATCCAGACGATTTCAATCTGTCAAGGTCAGGTCTTGGTCTGGCGATAAGTTCTGGCTTATTGGTGATGAGAATACCGTCACCTCTTCCAGCGTCAGTCGAGTGGTCTTTGCACTGGTCTTTGGGTGTAAGTCATGCTAAAGGGAGGAAAGTTTCGGCAGAGTCGATGTCGGAAGTCAACTATGTCTCGGTGCCTTTTATATCATCTGGTTGGTATGATTGGATGATTTGGTGAAGCTGGGTTATTTTGTTTGAAATGCTTCTGAAATTGATGTTTAGCTGGCGGAGGGTGGTCTGGTTATTGTGAGGGGGTGGTCTAAGGGAGGGGGAATGGAGGACAGAGAGGAAGGGGAAGAGGGAGGGGGGGAATAGATGAAGAGGGGGAGGGATTGGGGAAAGGAAGGGAGATTGGGAGAGGGAAAGGGTGGGATAAGGATGAGGATGACATGAGTTAAGAGGTCCGGGAGTCAATGGAAGTCCTAGAACAATGGGATATGGAGCTCAGTGATATGGATGAGTCTGGTGTAAGGGTTTATTGAGGTCGAGTGCTTGGTTACATGTTGGTGTGGGTAGCGAGTGTATGGTGTGTGGACGGAGTTTGGAGGAAGAACGTGTTGTAAGGGAGGGCTGTTTATGTCGTGTAAATGGAGTGTGTTGAAGGAGTTGGAGACACTGATTGGAGAAGATGCAAAAAACGAGCTTGAGAAATTAGGTAAGCCACATCCGTTGCAGATCCATGCGACGCCATTGTTAACTAATCCAGCTTATAACTTTGTTAACCAGCCGATGCAGCTGACATATCAGCCAGCATGCTCGGACCTCTCACAGTAGTTATTGCACTGGGATGCCCTTTGGCCCCATTTAACGGCCCTCATGCAGATCAAGCACAGGTACTTGGGGCGATAAGGGCCGGGGTTAACATTAGCGCAGGTATCACCGCAAAGGAGCAGCAGAAAAACAAAGGTGTGCCCGGAGTGTTTGTTATGTAATGTGTATTAGGGTACCGTAGGGTTGCGAGGGAGTGGAGCAGGTCAGTGGTTTTCTTATGTGAGTGCTTTGTTGTTGATTCGTGGATGTCTGCGTGTGTTTAAGGATTTGTGCATGAAGTGCGAGTAAGATGAGTGTTAATGTAAGTGCAAGAAAGGTAATGTGTAAAAGTTTGTGGCATCTAATATTTTCTAATACCTTTCTTGATTATGAGTGCGTTACGTGTTGTCAGCCTGGAGTGAACTATCAAGTAACCAGTCATATGAAGGTGGTGATTTGTAAAAGCCAGTATTGGTTAAAAAGAGATGATAAAAAACTAAAGACATAATGTTCTGTGGTTTTGTTTAAATCCAAAAGATTAAAAAGGTTAAAAAATCATGTGCTCTGATGTGTTCCATTTGTAGTGAACTGCGATTACAATTATATTTCGCCTTAGAGTGTAAAAGTAGCGTGACTGCCACCACCCATTTAATTGCCTCAGCGGTGTAACCAAAATCAGCGATACCGTGCTGTGCATCGAAAGAGTCCGTTAAAATCTAGAAAACTCGCTGAATTATCAGCACCTGTAAAACACAAACCATTAAAATCTAAAACATCAACCATATTAAAAGAACCATCACCAGAACATTCAGAAACCGAACCATTACTATAAGAACAATCTGTAAAATCACCAACACGACAGGTAGTGTCGGGATCATGACACTCATTACCCAAGTCATTACCCAACATCGAACCAGGACAATCGGCAGATTCAAAGACTTTATCAACCCCTTCAACAGAAGCGATGTGCGCTCCTTGTTGCAAAATGACTGGAAACTTACGGTCGTTTACGACCCTAATGGCTACCCGACCTTGCGACACCTGTGTTAAGCTGCGGGGAATTAATACCTGGGCTGTTTTGCCCGCGACAATAGCATCCATCCTCGTGCTGGGTGAAACTACCCCTACCACGAATCTTCCCATCTGTGGCGGGCAAACTACGGTCTCAGCACAGAATACAGGTGTAGTACCATCACTATTAGACAACAATCTTGGCATACGACGCTCATGTAACATTTTGATACTTAAGGATGGGGTGTCACTAAACGTCATACGGACTCTTACCCCCGTTTGACGTAATATAATTCCTCTGTGGAGAGTGACAAGAGACCATTTTAAAATTAAATCTTCTCAACCAATCTACGCCAATTAAAATATCGCCTGGGAACCTGACTTCCTCCGATACGATAGTTACATCATGTTTGCATCTAATTTCCTCGCTAAGGGAAAAGGATAAGGCTACGACCTCGACCGCGCGAAACGAGTGGCCTGAAGCACCTCGTAACGTGCGAGACGAAGGTCTGACTTGACTGAATATTCATTCTCTCTTTCAGCTCGTTCTTCATTAGTGTTATTTCTGACCCAATATCAATGAAGCATGTACACATAATCCCGTTGACCTTCAGAGATATAAGAGATCTTCCTACTTTGATGTGATCATTTATAGGTGATATCATGGCTGAATCTTTCCTAAATTCACTTCTAAATTCCCTCTGTATTTGCCGTACGGGAAGGTGTGAATGGGCGCGTCCCGCGGGCTGAGGAAAAGGGACAATTCCTGGAGATATGACCCGCCTCATTACATCTATAACAGCTTAATGGGTTTAAGGGACCTGGCGTAACATTCTGCCTCCCCCTACAATCTTTGGTATTGTGGGTATTTGTATTATGCAATGAGCAGTACATAGGGGATTGTTTACGCGCACGTGACATCTCATTAGGTTTGAATTGGCTGCCTGCACTTTTAATGTGATTCATGCGTATACTCCAGCATTTCTGTACAGCATCTACCAGAATCTGAAGAGGCTCTTCCTCTTTCAGGGCTAACGCTTCCCTTAACCAGTGTGGCAAGCCTAGAAGGAACACCCGGTGGATAAGTTCGTCCGGCATCCCTATTAATCTCGGATAAACTCGTACACCCTGGTAAACAACAGATTCAGTGTTTACAAAGAAGTCAATAGGTACTTGCCCTGGAGCCAATTTAAATCCACTCAGATGGTTATGAAAATCAGTTGACGAGCATGTACCCCTGAATTTGTCTTAATTTTTCTTTAAATTCAACCCATGAAGCTATGCCATCGAAAATAGACGAATTCACTATCAGATCAGCTGTGCCCCGACATGAACTCAAATCCAGGACCGCGACTCCGATTTAGTTTCAGAGGCGCCCCTAGGGGTTTCGGCTTTGAAAGGCGGAACAGAATCTTTGTAAATAACATATTCCACTGAAGGTGAAACAGAATTAACATTACTATTACCATTACCATTGTTCTTATTATTACCATTACCATTGCTGTTATTATTACCATGTTACTATTAGCTCTCAGCTAATGCAGCATGCCGTTCCTGCATGGCTGCTGACACCTCTGACTCAGTTCTTCGTACATGGGAAGATCTAAACTTTCTCGGAGCTGCACAGATGTATCACATGATACTTCAGCTGACTGCGGTGAACTCGCTGTTGATGTCCCGGGGATAGGTTGTTCATCAAACGTTCGCCTAGTTCGCTTTCTCATTGCGTCATTAACCAATTAAAATTGATACAAACAATTAAACGAGTAAGAAAAAACTAAAAAACAAATACCAAATGTAAGAAAACGAATGCCGAATGAGATGCCACAAACAATTAACGTTTAGAACTACTCGTTGACTTTTACCTGTAGTTGCTCAGCTCTAATTAACACCGGAACATCTCTGTTTACCAGCGCTAGTTTGGACAGTCATTACGCTTATTTCCTTTCACATGATTTGGAGTATCTCATCAAGTTGATTTACTTTACTTTATGTTTATCCCACCGCTGCCACCAAATACATGTTAGTAGCGCAGTTAGAATGTAAAAGTAGCGTGACTGCCACCACCCATTTAATTGACGTATGGGAACGGATGTTGTTTGTGGGAAGAGGGATATTGTAGAAGGCGATGCAGGAAAGGAGTGATAGATT